TTTTATTTTATATTTTATTTTATATTTTATTTTATATTTTATTTTATATTTTATTTTATATTTTATTTTATATTTTATTTTATATTTTATTTTATGATAGAAATACCTAGGTGGTGGGTGATGCTGCACTGTCTTAACAGCACTACATCATATTGCTGATTACTGGCTAAACGTGCAAAATTATCATTTAAATGGTAGTTTATTGATTCTGGATATGCTTTCAATAATTAGCTGTTTTGCTGACAAAAAAAGTTTGCATGCATTACAGAATATCATTGTATATGTCAAAAGTAGTCTTAGGATAATAGGAAGGTATGGCTTATTACTGATACAGCGCATAAACTTGATATGTATTCCACTTTTTTACAACTTAGTTAAATAAATGTTTGTGTTTCCCTACTATGGACCTGTCTACAGGCAAACGCCCTGCAGAAGACATGGAAGAAGAGCAGGCCTTCAAAAGATCTCGAAATACTGATGAGATGGTTGAATTACGCATCCTGCTTCAGAGCAAAGTATGTAGTTTTTTTTGTTGCTTTTTCTAATATCATGTTACTACTCCTGCTTAGGACTTTAAAAATGTGGCGGAATGTTCTTTGTACATTTAAGAATGTGATGTGCTTTTTTAATATACTATTTTAGGAACATTTAAATGTGCATTACTCGTAGAAGTGGTAGAGGTGTCTTGCAATGACATTACATACAATTCTTTTTTTCAAGGATAAGTAATGGMCTCTCATTTAAAAAATATTGCTGAAAAAATAGAGTAACAGAGATTATAACTGTTTTTTCATGTACTTSAGTACGAGATTGTTATTTTAAGAGGATCAATTGCATACTGGTCTCTGGACAGTTTAGAAAATGATAAACTGATGATTGTGAACTGATTGTGAGAAGTCAGATGACTTGCTCGGGATTTTGTTAATTCTTCCTAACAGATTCAGCAAATAGACTTGTAAGTATCATCTGGAAGAAAAGCGGGAGTAGGCTGGTTGCAGTTGTTCTATAGACTAGTTCAAATTACCACAATAAAGTAACTATGAATCTGTTTTTGTGTTTGTAGTTGTTACTGATGAACTTGATTTTGCTATATGTGAAGTTACTCCCACTTTTGTGTTGGGACAAGAAGTGTTGTCTTAAATCTGCATGGGATTGCTGACCAATAGTCAGGTTATGTGGAGTGTTAAAAATTTTCATATGATCGTATATATCAACTGCATAATAAAAGTCATAGGTTAAAACATAGTCCTTGAAATAACCCAATAAGAATGCAGTTTTATGATTATTATTCTTGAATATCTTCCATTTTACTACATTGATTTTGTAAATTTGAGATTAGTGACTATTTGTATTGATCTTAATTTTATCAGATTGTACCAGCCYGTGAGGTCGGTTGGGATGCATAGATAGAATCCATAAGCTATGTTTAAAATTATCAAGAAATATTCAAGGTGGGAAAATGAAGTTTTTGAAAATTCAAAAACAAGCAAACAAAAGTGATAAATCATTCACCTAGCCTGTGAAATCTCATGGGATACTTCTTGGACATCATATTCCAGATGTGAGATTCTTTTAACACAGGCAGAGTTGTCTAGTAACTAGTTAATTAAATTTGGGATTGAAATTAAAATAAGATGCAAAATTTAATATACTTATCTCTTTCCTAAGTTCAGTGACAAGTGCATTTTGACCTTTTTCCAATTAAAAAAAAAAAAGCTTTTTTTTTTTTTTTTTTTTTTTTTTAATTTATCCTTAGTGTAAGCCTTTCATAAGCAAAATGCTCCCTCTGCCCTGGCACAGTGAACTGCAGGTGGTCATAGGAAAATATCATTCTTAGAACATAGCATACATAGGCTGTGCTGTGTTAGCATAACATAACTTCTAAAAACTGTTTTCCAGAATGCTGGAGCAGTGATTGGAAAAGGTGGCAAAAATATTAAGGCACTTCGTACAGACGTGAGTATATATAAGTTTGAACTAATTTAACACCAATTCTTTCAGAGCACTACATTGAAAATTCGATTGCGTGCATTTCTAGAAGTTGAGGAATTCGACTCTAGACATCAATAGTCTAGTTACAAGCCAATTTTAAATGATTGTTAGAGTAGATAACTGAGTTTTTCGGTCTGTATTGTAATTAAAACCCAGATTGAGTCACGTGAGAGGAGAGGTTTATATTAAACCTCTTTGCTTTCTAAAAGGATTCCACTAAATTGCACACTTCAAATGAGTTAACATCTTAATTAGAAATACTGACAAAGCCAAAGCAATGGTATCATTTCCCATATGTGTGAATCAATTATAGTACTACTGAAAGTATTGCAGTTGGCTGGCTTAAACCATTGATACAGAAATTCTTTAACTTCCTTTGAACAACAAACTACTGTCCATCTGTTCTTTCATCAATGGCTTACACATGAAGCATCAAATTACATTAAGGTTGCACAATTTAAATATGGATGTAGAAGACTAAAGAAACATTTCACTCTATTACTTGCAAGCATTTTTAAATGGTCGTGACTTATTTATCTCTTCACATTTATAGTGGGTTGACTCTTGTGATTAGACACATGTTCAGCGTTAATGTTATGTATTTATAAAACTTGGCAGTGCTTCTTAAATTCCATTTGTTTATACTCCTGTACTTAACATCAGCTATGATTTCAGCAATATTTCAATACTCTGTTCAACACAATATTGGATAATATATCATTACACAATCAGTTCCAACTAAGGTCCTAAACTGTAGCAACTAGAATTGAGGATTGAGTTGAAACGGTCAGGAATCCTGCATACGCTCACTTATTTTTGGCAGCTAGCGTTTTTTGTCTTTTTTTTTTTTTTCCAAGTAGATAAATCACCTAAGTCCAGATACTTTAGAATGGTCTGGAACTTTCCCAATTTGCCCAGGGTTTTTGTCATATAGATCTTGACAGGTTTTGTGTCTACCCTCATGAGCCAGCCTGCTACTGAAACATCATATGTTAAAAGTAAAAAATAGTTTAGTCAGATCAAGTAACTCACTTAAGGTCCATACGGTTAAGCCACAGTCAATGTAGCAATCCGTTATTGTATTAATCTTCAGAACAACTTAAGCTTGTTTCATTAATTGAGAGTAATGAGTATAGTTTGTATTAAAATTTATTGCTTTTCCCCCTTTTCCCTCTCCTTGTTTTTTTGGCCATATATCTCCGTTGCCCATGTACTGGATCGACTTGCCCCTGCGTTGCCCACCATGACGTTGGCCCATCCGCCCCTGAACGCCCATGTGAAAACCCTGGTTGGCTATGCCCAAAAATGTGCTCGTTGCCAAACGGGTACCATACTTGACAACTTCCGATTGAATGCCCATGCCCAATGCCAACATCCACGAACGCCAATGACCAATGCAGTACAATGCCAGTGTTTCAGTCCCAGACAGCAGTGGCCCCGAGCGGTATGTCCCAACAGTTTATGCCTCACTGCCTGATTAGAAAGAGAGAAATGTATTTATTACCTGCCTTTATATAATTAAATAGTATCCCCTTATAGACGGTGTATTGTTTTTTCAAGTTTTCTGTCTTATTTTCCCCATTAAGTCTTTTTGTCACTGAACTTTTACGTGAGTTGCCCACCCAAACAATCCACTAATTTTATTTCAATGGAAGGAGCACAGCTTCAAGTGTTGCATATTCGCTGCATTGTAAATCAAATTGTTTCAAAATAGTCTCTCGCTCTGTCTTTGTGGCCCACCTTGCTCCCCCCAACATTGCCTGTTCATAATTATTTCTGATGAAATGCTAACTCTGGTTCACTTTCTTCACTTCTCATTTGTGTTGTCTTTTTTTTTTGTCTTGCATTTGTATTTGTTTTCTTGCGGAGCCCATCAGTAATCTAATTTCTAACTGGTCTCATAACTTTACTCCAGAAATAATGTTCGCCACTTGCATATCCCCACTTTTTCTACGAGAAGGTGTGCCAGTTTTACCAATGTAATAGCGAGGGTATCCTAAATTAGTGGTGGCGGGGAACATGAATATTCACTTCTACTTTCAGTTCTGCGTCAATTCTTGCCCACTTAATCTGAGCCCTTCCAAAGCCCATTCTCTCTTTCTCTCTCTGTCTCTCTCTCTGCAAGACCTACCTAATCTTAAAATTATCATGCATATATATTGGGCATAAACAAAGATGCATGTGTTGTAAATTCAATTAACAGGTTTACTTTAAATGGGGAATAATTGTAAGTTCTTCTGTGTAGTAAATCTCGTTAGGATTTTGTGCATGATTATGAATRTAAAACTTACTTTCACTTCTTCTTTTCCACCTTCTGCATATTATTTGGCACTTACGGCCTGACAGCATCTTGAGTATAAGTGCAGATATAGAGACAATTGGAGAAATCTTGAAGAAGATTATCCCTACTTTGGAAGAGGTATGTCTCACAGATTGATTTCTTTTTCAGAGGAACAATTTTAGCCTTTAAAACAAAATAATTGCTGATGATTCCATGCTATTTTATTATACCATAAAATAAAAAAAAAGCCTCTTTCGATAGGCCTAAAGCTCTCAGACTGCTGGTAGAGTTGGGGGCAGTCTCTGCATACTAGATCAATGTTTAGAACCATTTCATCCCCTTCCAGACATGTTTCCTGACTTACTTATGCCCACGTTCGAACTTGTATCCTGCATTGGCTTTGCACAAGACAGTGCATTGTACTGTTCGATATCTTTTTGAATGTGTATAGGAAGTTATACAATGTAATAAAAGACACGAGTAAAGCTGTTTTGAGACTGCTTTACTTTGAGGTGAGCTTCATAAGTTGTACTGATTTTATCTTAGCAAATACAGAATTGCAATTTGGCAGCAAATTATACCATAGCATGGTGTTTGGGGAAGATAAACACCACAAGTATCTAATTGTTTTTTGAGAATAACGTATTACACTTTATTCTATGAATCTTATTTACATATTGATATATGTATTGCATGTTACATTACATCTTATTTACATGTTGATATTTGCAGTATCAACACTACAAAGGCAGTGACTTCGACTGCGAGTTAAGACTTCTAATTCACCAGAGTCTGGCAGGAGGCATTATTGGTGTCAAGGGTGCTAAAATCAAAGAACTCAGAGAGGTATTGTTTTCTGCTCTTCTTAGATTTGGCTTTTGTTGTACARACAATTGAGTGTTTTGTATTAGTAAGCAGCAAGTATTGGTATCTTTTGTTAACAGTTTCTTTACAGCATACTTGACATGTGGTGTCTGTGTACTGATAACAATCGGTTGCTTATTATAACGTTCTTGCAAACCGTCAGAAATAAAATGGTGATAGGGCTTTTCATCAGGCTTTTAAGCACATTAACATTAGAGCAAATTATATTAAGAAAAGATTTTAAGTCATTTAAGTAAAGTGGCATTCATCACTTTTTGGAATGAACTACTGGATAGACTATATACTTAAATGGAAGACAGGTCATACAGAACAGTTCAAAGTGAACATACCTACATGAATTCCTAAGGTGATAATTTAAGAGGTGTTTTCTATAATTTTTCTGTAAAAATCAGTTTTTATTTTACTCTTTGGAGATCATGATTTCCTGTCACTGGAGGAACAAAAACTATATTCTCAAAGGCTAGTGCTCTGTATAAATCTGGAGTTGTTTTCTGTCTTTTCCCTGGCATTGTATCAAGGGCAGTTCCAGGTCAATTTAGATGTAAACTTTYATCTGTTTGTGTGAGTTGAGGGGGAGGTAAGGTGACACAACTTAATGCTTGAAATGTCATTGTTTTGCATCAGGAGTATGGTATGTGAAGGTTAATATACCCCGTAAGCTCACAATGGCTATGTGGTTCTTTTGCTAATACTTACTGAATGAAAGTATAGATGAGCCATAATTGAAACATGAGAAGTTAAATGTTCTTCCCTTTCACTAGTATTTCATGCAAAATGTCATTGTAGGTCTTTAAAAGATAATCTTGGATGTGAGACTAATTTGTATAGTCTCTATTTTGAACACTAATTTGCATGTGAGAACACCGAAGCAAGCACGCAGTTAAAATGACTTGAATAGTTTGGTTTTACTGTTTTTTTATAGGTGTTTTAATATTCAATACCCTTTTTGCTTTCAGTAAGTTCACAAAGTTGTTTAAAATACTTGTATTTGAAAATGGTGAGCTTTTTCTTCAACAGAACACTCAGACCACCATTAAGCTCTTCCAAGAGTGTTGTCCTCATTCCACTGACAGAGTGGTGCTTATTGGAGGAAAACCAGATAGAGTTGTGGAATGTATCAAGATTATCCTGGATCTTATCTCTGAGGTAATGTGTGTTAAATAGGTTCATTCTTTCTTTCTGAATGTATAAATTTGTATTTATGTTTAATATATTATTTGCATATGCTAATTATTAGCAGCCAGTGCTAACTCAGGGAGGGGTGTGTTTTTGTTTTGATTGTTCTAGTCTCCAATTAAAGGACGAGCTCAGCCTTACGATCCCAATTTCTATGATGAAACATACGATTATGGTGGCTTCACAATGATGTTTGATGATAGAAGGGGACGTCCTGTAGGCTTTCCAATGCGTGGAAGAGGAGGTTTTGATCGAATGCCTCCTGGTCGTGGTGGACGACCCATGCCACCATCAAGAAGAGACTATGATGATATGAGCCCTCGCAGAGGACCTCCACCACCGCCCCCTGGTCGTGGGGGCAGAGGTGGCAGCAGAGCTCGTAATCTTCCCCTTCCTCCTCCACCTCCTCCTCGCGGCGGGTGAGTTGTTGCATAGATGCTTTGTATGAAACTTGAATTTGTTGAATCATACTTGTGTTTCACACTCGCATGTTGGTAGTGATTACACGGGGTTTACTGCAACACCGTTTTTGTTTTTTAAAGTATTTTACTTAAATTATTTACTATACTGCAGCAGTTGACCCCCTGCTATAGCTAGTAGTCAAATATTTTGTACTGTTGCTTAAAATTTTGCTAAAACATTTAGAATTTCTTAGTTTTGTGTAATAATGACTGTGAAAAATTACTGTATACAGACTAGTTTGTAACAAGTGACGTGCTCCTGTTTTTCTTATTTTAGAGATCTCATGTCTTATGACCGAAGGGGCAGACCTGGAGACCGTTACGATGGAATGGTAGGAGTTTAAAGTTTGTATTATTCACTCAAAACAGTTAGGACTTCAAATATCTGAAGAAACCTGAACTTGTGCATTTAAATGCTGAACATGTACGCATCTGATACATTTTTAGTACTATACAAGAGTTTTGCCCACACAGTGGTCCCTTCCTTACGGAGGAATGTTTGGAATGTGAAGAGCCCTTTAGGGTGTAAAGGGTATATGGGGTGTGATCTGCTCAAGAAAATAAATCGGAACAGTATTTCTAAACTCTGCTAACAAGTTAGCTTTTCAATTCAAGCAGGCATTCTTAATGCATCTGTTAGAAAACTTGTATCCAGTTGATCCAGCAGATTATTGCTTTTGAAACCTCTTTTACCTCTGCTGCCTCTTCTGCCATGTTTGGTTACAATGCCAATGCTACCTATTGCTGAGTAATAATTTTCATAAGATATGAATGGTTTAAAAGGCTTAAAGATACCCTTCCATTGTATACTCTGAAATGCATTTTTCCAGTGGTCATCTGCTCTTCTACTAGGTAGATTCCTCATGCTTGGAAATAAAAGTCATGGGCATAAAGGAGTTAAATCTAGAATAGCAATGTTTGTTTCTTCTCTAGCTCTTTCTGGTACTTTACTCAAAATGACAGATAAGACAAGGTAAAATTTGGAATGGATGGAAGAGAAAGGATTTAGAATAGCTGTAAACTAAATTACCTAAACAAGTTTTACGCTTTGCCTCTATCTGGGAGAAAAAAATGTTGAAAGTTGGTATTACAGGAATATCAAAATTGAGTCACCAGAAGCCTGTCAGAAATACTGAAAGACTTAAAATTGCAGTCCTTTTGGACTTTGTCTAACCTTATTTATCAGGTTGATCTTGGCTTTCTTGACATGAGTTTCTACGAATAAGTATAGTCATAGCCAGTTTTCTGTATTCCAGTAAGCATTTTTTTTTTCTCACTACACAGTGAATTGCCTATGGCTTTGGATGTGTGTTACAACAGAAGTGTAACCCCTGGAGTATTAGAGGTGTCTAATACCCATAATAAGGGCTGATTCCCAACCTAGTTTGTACTTAATATATAGCTTTAGTGTAGCTGTTAATTCTGGTATCCTTAATTGGTTAAGTGGATGAGAAGTTCTTACATGTTTTGTAGAAAAATCAGGTCTTCTGATGCTGCTGAAACCTACTATCCATAGGAAAGGCTGGATGCAAAAGACGAGAACACTCTTACGTAGATGCATTAAAGAAACAAGATCTTTTGTCCAGACCAAGACTGTAGTCGTAGGTGTTGAATGTGCAGAAATTTTCATGTCCTGCTAATGTCTCCTTTCCACTAGAGTCAGAAAGATTCAATACAAGATGGGATGTTGAATGATGAATGTCATATTTCTGAGATAGGACAATATTGAAAGCCTTACAAATTTTAAAATGGGAGAAGAAAACCATTTGAATTAAAGTCGGCTTCCTCATGTCTGTATAATTCTGGGTGACTCTGCATCATAAGAAATTGTGTCTCAGTCTGGGCACTACTAGTTTGAAGAGTTTACTTGGTTTATAATTTGTGGAGGTGTTTCCTAAAGGAGAGACATGCACAGTTTGTCAATTCCAGAACTATATGTTTGTGGCTATTAACAAAACCGTATCAAATTTTTGTGCACATTCTAATAACGGATATTCTGATAGTTGAGAAAGCCTGACTGAATGTGGTCCTATTTCTAAATAACTTTCAGTGTTTACCCACCATAACACACAGACATGGAAACAAAAAAAATGAAGCTTAAAAATACTTGTTTATTTAAAATGGCTAATTTCTGGTGTTTCCAGTGTATTTTTAAACTGAATAGAGGAGTAAATTAGACTGTTTAGAATATATATTCATACTTCTAATCAATCTTTGTTTATTCGAATACTTTGCAGTTCTTGATTCCCTTTATTTATGTGCACATATATGTGTCTCTATTAAAGATATGCATATAGAGTACCGAATGTACACACACTTCAGAGCTTGAGCATTAAAAAGCCTATAGGAAATCAGTAATGGAAAAATGTTTAGCTGGTATTTAACAGTTTAAATACTGAAAAAAATTAACAAAACTTCTCTCTTGTTTTAACTTTACATCATTTTTGAGGAACAAGAATTTGGTATCATCAGTTAGGATGGCATGCATCTTCTTTCATTAGATACAAAAGTTAATTCTTGTTAATTCTTGTTAATGCTCCGATTGCTCTGCCTAGCTTTGCCTTCCATCTTAGTGCCTAGCCTAGTATAAATGAGTCTGTAGAGTACGAGCGAGCTTTTATATTTTTAGTTTGTTGTTCATGCTTAACACTGCAGAGGCGTTTGCCTTAGTAACTTAAAGTGGACTCTGTACAAATTATATTTTAAGATTGTCTGATTTATTTCAGAATTGTGGGGGGGGAAAGCTAAATACAGTTTTCTTTAATCTACTTATATTAACAATATATGTATATTGCTAGCTAGTTTTTGGCTACTTGAGGCAGATGGAAAGGAACTAATAAAATGTGGTAAGCCATGTCCTTCCTACTTGAAGGACTACTTCATTATTTCATCTTTTTGGCAAATAGTGCTTTCCTATCACTTAAAGGTCTTTGGGGAAAAAAGATACAACAGTACAGCAAAGTTTGAATGTAAGTCTGACAACCTTTGCAAGAGGAAAATCTGTTTACAGAAAGAGGGAAGAAATTAATGTGATTAGTTAAGAGAACCCAAAAGGGTGAAAGTAAAAGCGAGCAAATCTTCTCACTGATCTCTGTTATGTACTTCTGAGTCTCTGCAGTAGATAAGGCGTTAAAGAAAATATTTTCCGTATCTGTGTGTTTACTTGCAATGTGAAGTAACTTGTAAGCTTCCTTGAGATGGACTTAATTTGAACTAATTTCATCTTTTCTTAATGTTGTGTTGTGCCTGGAAGATGATGCAGTGTCATGTGGATGCCTGTGATGACATGCAACCACCAGAACTGGTGAGTGTGTTCATCCCTTTGTTTAGCTGTTTTACTAGTTCATTGTGAGAAAATAATTGAATTGATTTAGTAGTAGCTGGAAACACTTGAATTTAGTGAGTGAGCTTGCAGCAACTGAAAATCCCTAAGGTTGTCCTTCTGATTCAGAGCCTTGGCATTTTTTATCCTAACAATGTGTCCTGTGCAGGCAGTTAATATTCTGCAAGAAGCAGCACAACTGGAAGAGAGGAGTTTTTATGTTTATTGCCTTGTGTAGTCCATTTTAGTGTTCTAAACTGTAGCTATTACTATAACTCTTCCTTTTCAATAGAGTGGTGGTGCATGCATTTAGGACATGTACTGTATATTAACTTCGTGTTGTGTTTTCACATAACTAAAAAGCCCTTCTGCATTATCTCTCCCTGTATTTTAAAATACTGCTTATGATGAGTCACATGTGTATTTATCAAATTCTTTACTCTTAAGGGGTTTTAGGAAGGGAAGTTTAAAGGGGATAGTCAAGTGTTTATGCTGTGTAGGAGATAGCAGAAGTGCTGCCAAATATTAAACATCAATTCCTGGCTGACATAAACACTGCAGTTCTAATTAGTCATCTGTTCTCAATTTATTTTCTCTTCTGTAATCTGTAGAGGAGAACCAGGAAATACAGGAATGTTCATTAAAACAGATAAGCCCAAAAAAGAATGTTCAAAACATCCTATGCAATCCATCAACAATCCCGTGCAAAACATCATCAGAAAAAAAAAGTGTACTGAAAAGTGTATTGGCATTAAATGTGCAGCTTTGATCAGCCTCTGAATTCAGTACTATTCAGTGTTGTTCATTTTCCTGCATTTTGCACTCTACTACATGTTCTTTATGTTGTATATCAGTCTCTATTGGTAAGCAACATGATTACACAATAAAGGTTGCATAGAAACAGATGATCCATTTTAATGTGGTTCTGGAAAGGTAGAAGGTAGTTTAGTTGTGGGGAAGGAGGGTGTTCGTTGGTGGGGTTTTTTTGTTTGTTTTGGTAGGAAGAGTGAGAAATAAGTTACTTGTATATAGAGAGTTTGTAGTGCAACAAGTTCCCATGTTTCTCAGAGATTATGTTTAAGTTGAATTCTGGAAAAGCACACACATTTATACTTTCATAGGAGGCTATAAAAATGTTCTAATGCCTTCTAAATGCACAAAACCACAAATTAAGCACTTGATATTAAGTGCCAGTTTATGAATTCTAAAAATAAAGTGCATTACAGAATGGCACTAACATATGCCACAGTTGTCCTTTAGAAGATACAGGGGAGGAGAATAGCATCATCTGTACGGAGAGTTCAGTTACTGAGGTATTATTTGAGATCACTAGTTTGTCAACACTTCATCTCATTGAAAACAATTTATGGAGCAGACTTTTAGATCCAAAACTGAGACTGAGATTTCTGTATCTCCTGAGCTATTCAAGTTTTAGTAATAAAGCTGAAGTCTGCTTTGAATGTTAACTTTAATCAGAGGGTCAGGAATAGGTCTTTGTCAAGTGCTGTCTGTCACCAGTAGGATAACTTGATAAACTAGTATGGCTGGATCCTTAATGTTATTTAATGCCCTATTCTTAGAGGTTTTGACAGGATAGAATAAGATACACATGAGACTTCTCACATTGTTTCTGGCTTGTCCTCTCCTTTCAGAATGCCTTTGACACTTCTTTATTTGTAGTAGGGTGGTTTGAAGGTTGAGCTATTTGCCAAAATTACGCTCCAAGTTAACAGTATGGTACTTGTCATGAGAATATGTTAATAAAACATGATTATTCACTAAAGATTTTTTTGTTTGTTTTTTTTCTCTCACTCTGCTATAGTTTGAAGGTGGCTCTGGATATGGTAAGTTTTTTTACATAAAACTTCTACACATACTGCATAACTTAATCATTAAAGGGCTTGATACATACGTTTAAATCAGACTATTCTTATGCAGGGGGCCGTGGGTCATATGGAGATCTTGGTGGACCCATCATCACAACACAAGTAACAATTCCAAAAGATGTAAGTAAAGTTAGTCTTGCTCTTTGTGTTTCTTTTTATCCGACTATATAAGTAAATCATAACTTCGGGATGCTTTTTAAAAGTCCTTTAAAAATTGCTTTTAAAATTACGCAAGTATTTATAAATCACCAGAAGTCTTTCCTTTAGCGTATTTGTTTTGTGAGCTTAGTCACTTACTGAACAATTGCATTAATTGTTAACAGTAGAGATAATCTGCATAGTTGCTTTTATGAAAACAAACAGCTGGTTCTTCCAACTTCATACCACTGTGATATCTGTAGCTGTTTATTTTTATAGAGCAAGTTGTAACAAAAGAAGTTAATGCTTTGTTTTCTCCCCTAGTTGGCTGGATCTATAATTGGAAAGGGAGGCCAGAGAATCAAACAAATACGTCATGAGTCAGGAGCTTCGATCAAAATTGATGAACCATTAGAAGGCTCAGAAGATCGGATAATAACTATTACGGGAACACAGGACCAGATACAAAATGCACAGTATTTACTGCAGAACAGGCAAGTTGAAGCTTAATGCTGTTCTTAGTGTCAATTTTAAACTGACTTTTTTCCCCTACTACATTCTGAAGCTCTTCTCTGTGATGTAGTTTCTAGAAGGCAGGTTTTAAGTTTGAACCTAACTTCTCCAGTTGTGGCATTTCTGCCTTGATTCTCCTCTGTTCTCCATTTTAAATAAAATGAAGACGCCCTCAAAACTAATCTTGCTGGAAGACGCCTTAACCAAGCAGTCCTCTCATTTCTCTGGTGAAAACTGCTGCAAAAAACTACTTGTAATAAATTATATAGAGCCTGTAGAAAATATAGAAGATTTCAATGGATGTTGGTCTAGTTCTGTGTGGAAGACTAGTGATTTTGTTGTTTTTAGATAACTGAATTGACAACAAATCACAGTCTGCCATATGGCACAGGCCATGCCTCTACAGGACAAGTTGAAATCGATTGGTGCTGTTAATGCAGCATTTCACACCTTGCTGGCATTGTCTTTTTTTTTTTTTTTTTTTTCCTCCTCCAAATATTAACAGTTTCAGTTTTCTTTTGCTCTACTAACATGTTGGCTATCTTAGCAATTCTTAATGTTTAACTTGAATGGTTTGACTTTAGGCTACTAATACTTAAATGTGCTTAAGATCCTCCTATATCTATAATTACTAGCTATATACTACCTTTAAAAAAATACTTCTAAACATTTTAGGAGTTTGTAATCTCTAATGTCATTGTGAATATTAATACCAGATGTATGGTCAATCATTCTAATACATGCTTTTTTCTTTTTCTTTTATAGTGTGAAGCAGTATGCAGATGTTGAAGGATTCTAATGCAAGATTATTTTTTCTTTTTTATAGTGTGAAGCAGTATTCTGGAAAGTTTTTCTAAGACTAGTGAAGAACTGAAGGAGTCCTGCATCCTTTTTTTTTTATCTGCTTCTGTTTAAAAAGCCAACATTCCTCTGCTTCATAGGTGTTCCGCATTTGAGGTGTAGTGGAATCTTTGCTGTCCACCAGATGTAATGTTTTAGTTCCTTACAAATATTTCGGGGGAGGGAAAGGGCGCGTGAGACTAACATTGACATTTTGAAACAGCAGCAGAGAGAGTGGATTTTATTTTTGTTCATTGTTGGTGGTAAATTGTCATGTTTTCTGTAACTATTGTGAACACCTAGCTTTACGTACACTGTATTTTTTGAAGGGGGGGGGAGAATACTGGTAGTCCACGTGTCCCTGGCATCCTTTTAAGAGCAGTGTGCAGAATGTAATGCTCTTTTGTAAGAAACGTTTAATGATTTTTAAATAAATTTAGTGAACCTATTCTTGGTGGTCATTATTTTTAGATATATGCATAAGGTAATATCTAAAATGGATAAACCCTTCCTCTCCCCCCTTCCTGCAAAAAGATGCATAAATGAAAGTTGCTGTTAAGCTTGCTCTTCTGCTTCTTTGATATAGATGGAGTTAAGTGTTCTTGGTAAATTAAAGAAACAGTGTGAAGACAATGGCTCAGCTTTGCTATCTGGGGAAAAAAATGCAAAAATACTCATGCATATGTTGTGTAAAATTTGACTTTTTCGCAAGTGTTTGGCCCTCTTCGCAGTACATATATATATTGGTGACAGTATATGAATAAAGTATTTAAAAACTTTGTGATGTCACTGAGTTACAGTGGTAAAGTACACCTAATTCTAGACAGCTTAATGCAAATTACACTGTTAGAAATGGCAGTTGGTGTACCATTAACGATTGATTTCTAGTTTTCAGAGCTTTCATTTGTATGCAGTAGAAATTTTTATGATTTGGCGAATTTACAGCATCTTAACTCTGTAATTTGTTTTTCATTGTATACAGACTTAACCTTGTTTGGTTTCCTTACTGTATGTTGAATTCCATAGGAAATAATTGTGAGAAATAAAAAAAAAAAAAAAAAAAAAAAAAAGGCAAAAAAAAAAGCGCTAAAACTTCCTCTGGATATCTCATGTAATACCTTGGCATTTGTATTTATAGTTTATAAGTCTTAATTTCACTTCCTAAATAAAAACGATTAAAAACCGCACCAGATCTTGGCCGCTGAGGATGTGGAGGTGGAGGGGGTTCTGCGCGGGGGCTGCAGCCATGTCGCCGCCTCGGCCCTCGGCCTCGCTGCAGAGCGCCGSCTCCTGCCCGCACTCGGCGCGGGCCGTTTCCGCGGCGGGGCCCGGCTCGGAGGTGAGAGGCGGAGCCTGCGCCGGCGCGCGGGAAGCGGCGCAGCCTCAGCCCTTGGCGGGAAAGGCAAGGGCGGCGCCCGGGCACGGAGCTGGCGCGGAGCGGCGGCTGCGCATGCGCGGGGCCCGGCGCGCCATGGCGCCTGCGTGGCGCCGATGGGCGGTGGCGGAAGGCGCGCCGGGAAGCGGGAGGTCGAGCAGCATGGAGGCGCCGCTGTCGCCGCTGGAGTCGGCGCGGTTCATCGCGGAGCGCAGCGCGGATGTGTCAGTGGAGGAGGAGGGCGCGAGGCGCCTGGCCGAGGCGCTCTTCGACAAGGCGTCGGCGGAGGAGTTCGGCGTGGCTGGCTGGAAGCGGCTGCACGAGCTGAACCCGCAGGCGGCCAGCGAGGAGGCAGTGAACTGGGTGTTCCTGGTGGACGCGCTCAACTTTTCCTTCTGGGCCGAGCGCGACGACCGCAAGTGCCTCATCAAGTACAAGGGCAGGAGCTACAGCGGCTACTGGGCCCTGTGTGCCGCCGTCAACCGCGCGCTCGACGACGGTCAGTGGCGGTTGGGGCCGTTGTGGCGGTTGGGGCCGTTGTGGCGGTTGGGGCGGCGCCAGCTCGGCGCCCCCTGGCGGGCGGCTCGGGGCGCGCGGCGGCCGCGCCGGAGGGGAGGGAGGGAGGAAAGGAAGAAAGGAGGGAGGGCGCCGCCCGTGGCCACGGCGCTTGTCAGATCCCAAGAGTTGCTAAACTTTTCTAGTCTGCTGTAGCACAAATGCTTTCCCCTGTGGTAGGGCACTGCGTTAGTTCTTCAGATAGGGTACAGCAGTCTAAAGGCCTCGTTCTTACCCTCCTGAAGGAATACCCATTACCAGTGCCTCTTACTTCGCCACCATGACGCTCGAGCAGGTCAGGCACGTGTTTCGCTCCGACTCGGAAGTCCCTATGCCTTTGGTTGAGGAGAGGCACCGGGTGCTGAATGAAAGTGGAACGGTTCTGCTGGAGAAGTTCGGAGGATCTTTCCTGACCTGTGTTAAAATGAGTGAAAAAAGTGCTCAGAAGCTACTACGCTTAGTAGTGGAAAATTTCCCTTCTTACAGAGATGAAGCTGTATTTGAGGTGAGTTGCTTCCAACACTGGATTTCTGTCTTAAGAATTTACTCATTGTGGTTTTAAAGTACAGCTGTTAAGTTGTCCATGAAAATTCTTCTRAAATGGTGGTCAGTTAAGAAATGATCCAAAATTTGTGATTTTTTTTTTCTGGAAAAGCAGGAGGTCTACAAAAACATTTCTATGGAAGTTCAGAATATATTCAAAAATAAAATTCAAGAGAAAGGAAAGGAAAACATTATTATAGCTATTAAGTTCAAATCTAATATGTATTAAGGTCTATATAATGCAAAGAAATTGAGACTTTGGAACTGTTGTTATTTATTCCTACTAGCAACACATTATTAAGATGGGATTTTTTTTCCTTTTTCCTATTTTCCTTTGAGATAAGACTTCTGGTGGACCAAACKATGCTTTTTATTAAGATATGGCAAAATCGTTTTAATTTCCTATTGATCCTGTCTCTAAAAGCAAGATAAAATTTTATTAGCAAATCGTGTTAAGTTGAAATTCAATTTTATATTCCTTACGAGTCACTTTTTTTGCAGAACAAGCCTTTGTATGTATATGTATAACACACAGGTATATGTGTGTGTCTGTGTCATATGTATGTATACACAGTCTGTGTTTTCATCATTTCAATTGTTGATATTACGATATAGTCCAGTTCCCAGTTCAGCTGTACATACATTGTAGCCAGTGCATGTGCATTGTGTTTGAGATACCTTTTTTACCTGCAAAGTCAGAATCAGCTTCTAATCCTCATCCACTCCACTTTATCTTTTCAGCAGCTAATGAAGGAAATGAAACTAATAAAATTGTGAAAATGTACAGTTACTGCTGATTCAGTAGACATGAACAACTACAGATCAGAATTAAGCCCACATTATCATGCTCTGATAATGAATATTTATCACAGCTTTAGTATTATACAGATAGACTATGACAACTTTCCTCAGTTACATTCTGACCTTCTAGAGTAGCTTCTAAAATTAAGGTAGTTCTTTGGCTATATTTTGTGTGTTTGGCAAAACATATTTTACAAAGCTACACATTACTGAATATATTTTTATAAATTGGTTATGTTCTTTTTCTTCTGAAAAGTGAATTACAAACTTGAGACTGAGGTTATAAAATAATAATGATCCACCATAATGATCTACCTCTTTTTCTTTTCTTTTTTTGTACTTGCTCTGCTGTTTTGATCTTTTATAAACCCAGTACTCCTCCTTTCTCTTCATATCAATAGTTCAGAATTAGTTACATCTCATAATATGGACTCACTGCAGTGACAAAGAGGTACAAATGCCCTCACTCTAGTAGTTTCTCTTGGAAAGTGAGAGTGTTCTTGAAAAAGCACACTAGTGGTATAGCCATCAGGTAAAATACTCTATTTTTGGACAAATGTTACTGTTGTTGGGATGCATTAGCCTCCACCTAAGGCTTTTGTTGCTGTTCTGTTTAAAAGAATGGTGGAAAATTTTATTGCAAATGCTAAGTAGTATTCTTCATAAATAAAACTTCACACAAACGTCATCAAGTCTGTGCAGCACAGAAATTAATCATAATTGAAGCGGTGAAATTATAAATCCATGTGCTTGATGAAAAATGCCAGGCAGTAYTTTTTTTCTGAATTAAACTGCTGCATGAAAGGAAGAGTTCCATTTGAATTGACCCTCCTCCTGATTTTGTAAAATGATGAAGTGCTGGAGGCTATCTATACTTTCTTACTATACTGGAAAAAATCTCAGTGCCAGTAGAAGAGCAATCTTTGTCTTAGCTTTTCATGAATTTCAGCACTTTATGAGATAAATATTAATTATTGACTTCCTATTGTGATGTTTCAAATGGCATTTTATTATTTAACATCTTCTATGTTGCCTAGTCTCTAGAAGTAAGTTTATCTGTGCCAAAGTAGGAAATAAAGTACACAGAAAACTAGTTTTCAAAATGTTTGCAGAAGTTACTGTTCTGTGAAACATAGTAGAACATCTTGTTTTCAGGGTTTTTGGAGAACAACAATATTTAAAAAATACATTTTGTTTTCTGGAATAGTCTGTAGTATCTTGGCAGTAAAGATTAAATCAATTTTTAAAATGGTAAAATTAAAATTGGTAATTTTTTACTATGTGAGGAGGGTACTAGAGTAAAACTTGAAATGATTCACGTCCCCATGCTGTATTATGGAGTAGCTATTTCACTTTGATAGGCACCCTTTATAAAACAAGGAAAATTATAAATTTTAGCTAAATAAATTTTAGTTTTAGCTATAAATGAAAAATTCTAACCTGGAGCTGTTTAAGTGCACATTTACTGTTACACATTTACTGTTTCACAAAGTGAAAATCTTAAATACATTTTGTATATAGTATAGCTTTTCTCTCTGTGAGTAAGTACAAAGGCATATACATTTTTGCAGATTTAGCCCATCAATAAAATATTTGACAAAATAGAACAAATCAGAATACTTAAAAAATCTCATACTTGAAAATATGCCGCTTACTAAATTTAATTCAGTTCTTCCTCTTTAACTAGCAAGATCTGCTATATACTAAAGGGTAGAGGTTTTCACTAGGATTTAATTTCCTTAACATTAGGAATAAGATGAATAACAAAATATGTCAGTTGTCTGATTATAATACATGCTGCTTATCTTTCTCTTCCCTAAATAGAATATTCAATGAGCACTAGAGTTTTTGAAAGAATTTGTGTTTGCTAGACTCTAGGGAGCACGATTGTCCAATGGAAATAAATGCTTATCGATTCTGAGATCCAAGTGTAATCCGGGCATTTTTCTATTGAATTGCAGTAAACATAGTACGTTTGTATCTCAAAAGTTTGAGGATTCTGTGCTATATTTATTTGTCATCCAAGAGTCTTAATTTTAAGGTGTTCATAATATTGTTCTCTGTTAAGTAAAATATTTGCTTGCTCCAAAAGTAAGCCAGTTGTGTTTTCTAGGACAGTGCAACTCTGTATGTCTCTGTACATGTAATTTTTTCTCTATAAAGACATCTTTCAGACACCTAAATAATTAGCAAATTTTTCTTTATCAGAATAAAAAAGTGGCCTTCTACAAACGAGCACAAATACTTGTGGCAGATACCTGGAGTGTGTTAGATGGCAAAGGAGATGGCTGCTTTGGTGACATTTCTAGTCTGACTATATTTGCTGACTACAGGATCCCTCAAGTTCTCGTCCACTTAAAAGCAATGAAATACTCTGAAGAGCTCATGAAGAAACTCCGCGAAGGTCTGTGCTGAATACTTGTGTTTTTTGATAGCTGGCAGCCTTCTGTAGATGAAAGCTAAAAAGTGTAATGTTTTATCACCATAGGGCTATTTTTTTGCCTCCAAGGAACAAGGAGTTCTGTGTAGTGATGGAGTGACCAAGGGGATCTCATTTTCTATTAGTAATCTCAAATGAGAAGTTCAACTTTTTTTTTCCCTCTCTTAATAAACTGTTCCTTATATTAAACATTAGTGAGGGAGGATTAAAGAAACTCTAAACCAGCTGATTTCTGAGTTTCAAAAAGGCCACTGTTGGGAAAACTCTTTTCAGCGGGCAAGTAATTTTCATTTCCATGTTTAGATAACAGAAGCATCAATTTCTTCATTAGTTCAGAAAAAAAAATGTAAAATGCAGGTTCCTGTTTATCTTTACTGAAGTGCTAGCAGCTACTGTTTTTGTAAYGACAAGCAATATTTATATTTGTCAATTTAAAAATAGGCTGAGTTGTTTACTGAAGATAATCATACATATGGGATGAAAAATGAATCTCACTTTCTAAGCATTTATTTCAGTGAGTAAAAATATAAACAAATCCTTACACAGTTAAAATGGCTGTTTATAAGGAGAACTGCTGTTACCCAATTCTAACACTATACAGCAAGATAAACACAATTGCCTGTGAATCTTAATAGCGTGGTTACATATGTATAATTAGTTGGATAGGCATATCCTTGCTGTATAGGACTCATGGAAAAGAAATTGCCCACCTGATAGATTTAATGTCTTATCCCCCTAAAAGGGAATCAGAGGTTCAAAGGTTCAAGTTATCCTTTGCAAAAATACTGAAATTGTGTTTGGGTATCATTTTTACGTGCACAAACAAATCATCATATAATGTGTAGCATAACCCAAACGTTCTTTTCTTAACTCTCTAACACATGAAGCATTTTATTTGAACTTGAGACAAACTTACAGATGTATGTTGGTAGACTTTTTCCAAAGAGAATGTGCAGCACAGTTATTGGTAGTATCAAAATTGCAGTCCTAGGAGAGAATAAAAATGAAGGAATAAAAAGAGAAAATTGAGGACAATTGGGGGTTTGGTTTCTCAAACCTAATTGCTGTTTCTTGTTTCCTGCAGGAACAATTTTCCAGTCTGGAGACAGACAGGAGGTGGAGATCCGTGGTTGCTCTATCTGGTGCTGTGCATTGATTTGTAAACATTTGCTGGAGCTCTATGAGAAGAAGGGCCAGGATATGCGTGGAAAGATCAATGCGGTTTTACTTGACTACTATCTTTGGGACTATGCCAGGGATCACCGGGAAGACATGAAAGATATTCCGTTTCATAGAGTGCGGTGTATATATTATTAAGGCCAGTCTCCTGGCAGTTTGTATTGGTGTATTATTATGTATTATTCATATCATGCTGTCAAACACCAATTTGGAACTTGCTACTTGCTTTCTGCTAATGCATTTAATAACTCTTGATAATTTTTTTCTTGCTCTGGATCTTTCAATAGCCATGACTGGAATTAATAAGGGAAAACTTGTATGGACAAGCTGCAACTACTGTGGATTATTGCTCTGAGTTTTTTGTTTGCTTCTGCATGTATACATACACTTATATGTACATGTGCATATGTACACAGCCACGTACCTGTTCTTTACAGTCCAGGCCCTTGTTCTTAAAGCAATGTGGTGTCTCACATTCCCTGCCCAAGCTGCTGGGTGATGATGTGCTGTTTCATAGAATCATAAAATGCTTAAGGTTGGAAGGKACCTCAGAGGTCATCTAGTCCAACCCCCCTGCTCACGCAGGGTCACCCAGAGCACGGGGCACAGGGCTGCGTCCAAGTGGGTTTTGAAGATCTCCAAAGAAGGAGACTCCACAACCTCTCTAGGCAGCCTCTTCCAGGGCTCTGCCACCCTCACTGTCAAGAAATGCTTAAGTTCCAGTGGAACTTTTGGTGCCTCAGCTTGTGGCC